GCTGAGGGGGCTGAGGGGATCCCCGGTGGCTGCGGGGAGCCCGGGGCTGAGGGGGCTGAGGGGATCCCCGGTGGCTGCGGGGAGCCCGGGGCTGAGGGGGAGATGAGGCTGAGGGGAGCCATCCCGAGCCCAGGGCCAAGGGGGAGCTGGGGGGCCAGGCGGACCCCAAAGCTAAGGGGCGCAGGCCGAGGCTAACCTTCCTCAGCGCTTCAGCTCAGGGGGTCGAGCAGGGAGCACACCACCTTTCCGTGTTTTAAACCCGAGTCTCATTTCTGGGGAGACTCAGGCTCCTCACCACTGCGTCGGGGCCTTCGTTCCCATTGAAATCTAACGGGGGGAGCCCAAGTGCTCCTGGCACTTCTGGAGAGCCTCTGCACCGCCGCCCTGGGCACCGGGTCACCTGCACCGTGCGAGCCTTGTCTGGAAAGGGGCAATGGTGACAGTAAGGTGTCTTACTAACAGACTCACGAAACCCAGCACATCCACATGCACACACACATATATACGTGTGCGCGCATGTGTATATAGTGTGTGTGTGTGTGTATATATATGAGGTGTGTACAGTCTCAAAAATGAATAGTTACAGACATTAAATACCCAGCAACTTAAATACCACAAATCTTAACAAATCCATTTTCCCTCGCTCCGCTCGAGCAGGTTCTTGGCTCCGCAGGGCGAAGCACACTGTTCGGGAACCCGAGCAGCAGCGAACGTCCTGCAGCGTGTACACGGTTACCTCGGATTGTAAGTCCCAGTTTTGACCAGGCTGCCCCAAACACGGCCTGTCCCAAACGGGTAGCGCCGCGCACCACCATAGCAGCACACGGCCGCACTCGCGTGGCTCCGTGGGATGCGGCTGAGCTCGAGCGCCCGCTTGTTCAGCACTTGCCAGAGCAGAGTTTTGATCTCTGGAAGGGAAAATGAGCATGTATATTATTAAAAACAGTGACTAAAATGTGCGTATTGAGTCAAACATAAAAAAAAAAAGGACTATTGACACTTTTTTTTTAAATTTATGAAAGCGTTGGTGGTTTTTTTTTAAATAAAGATGGTTTCATTAAGAACTCCTCCTATTGAAATAAACCACTATTGAAATAAATACATTCACAGTGGCTATTACATTCATTAGATCCTCAAAAAAAGGACATTTATGTAGGTATGAGATAGTTAGCCAGCTTGTAAATTGGACTAGGACATTAGAGAGACCATTTCAAGTCTTGGGGAATAAATGGCAAGGAATTTTTTCAATATCCTTTGAAATATAATATATTTATGAAAAATAACAACCCCAAAAGATCCTATTTTAAAGTACCTCAGGACAGGAAAGAAAACTGATGAAGCAATCTGCAAAGCAACAGAAATGGTGCAACAGAAAAATATTAAACCTATAAATCCGAGTTAGCAGTACGTTAACCAGTGACTCATTGCCAGCGATGGTTTGTGGGGATCCGTTGCACTTTACCATATGATTTCTGAGTATTCGATGCCCGTTAGCTCAAGCCCGCAACAAACTGTGGTTTCGCTTAACTGTTTTTCTCTCCTCCCCGTGCCCTCGCACACACAGTCGCCCCATTCCCTTTCTTCCGTGGGTTTGACTGCACTCAGGCAGGCACAAGGTAACACCCCCTGCAAGTCAACCGTCCGCGGCACCTCCAGGAGGTATCATCTCAAGGCAGAGGTGCCGGTGGACGTTTCATGGCAGCAGTGTGAACTATGACAGCACCCTGCCTTGCAGGGCTGTGAGGAGCCAAGGAGAGCGCCAAGGGATGGGCTGGTGCCCAGCAGATGCTGTTGTAGCTAGAGGAATTCCTGGAGCATCAGGGACCTGCTTTCCCCAGCAAATAAACCTGCAGGATCCCGCGATGCAGATATTATTTTAATCTCTGAACACATGCATATAGATGAACACACGCTGCGTGACCAGGCAGCCACGATATTAATTAGCAGCAACTGAGAAGGCAGGAGAAAATGAGATCCTGCGAGAGCCTTTGTTCTGGTACCGTTTTAGAAAATGGAAAATCTGGTGTCAGAGAGAGAGAGAAAGAGAGAGAGAGGAGAGTAACCTAGATTTGATGCAAAAGCAGGTTTGTTGGCTGGGGACAGGACGGTGGGTGCTGGTGAGAAGCCGCGGGAGCGTGCGTACTGACGGCAGCGCTCGGCGCAGCCTCCACGGGCTGTTGGCAGCCCCAGACTAGGGGCAACCCTTCAGCGCTCCTTCCCGTGGGTCCGGGGGCGATTCCAGAGGAGCCCCTTTCTCCTCGCAACTGCTAGTGCTGGGGGAGAGCTGCCTGAAAACCACCTCAGCGTGGGTGAGGGCACGGCTGAACCCATGCTGGCGCACAGGAGCTGAGCTCTTGCGTCTGCTGGCAGCACCCGTGGGACTCCACAAGCAGGGTCCAACCCAGCTGCCAGCGCTGCCTCAAGAGGCTAAGGGGAGCTCCCGTGCAGGCAGCACCGCCATACAGCCCTGCACTGCGTACAGCCGAACGTGGGTCAAAGCCATTCCCAAGGGCCGCCAATGCACGCCTGTGCGTGCAGCTCCTGCACAAGGTGAAAAACATCAGCCACTGGCGTGGGTATTTCTTATTCAGTAAATTTATCTTAAGGCAGGAAAGCTGGGACAAAAGGGGGCGAGGGCTGGAGAACGACTCCCTTGCTACCCTGCACTGCCTGTAGTCTATCCCAGAGCGATATTAACTTCCTTTTAGTGTTAGATGATGAAGCCCTAAGCAGATACTTAGGAGTGGCTTTTGCGAGCCCAGTTCCAACCCATTTCAGGCTGGTGGTTGGTGAGTGCCGTGTGTGGTCCAAATGGCAGGAACCGCTGCCATGCAACCCCACATTAAGAGCCGGCGCCAGCCTCAGCAGTCCCTGTGGCTGGGGCGGGATGGTTTCAAGGCAGGCAACTCCTCTCGGGCAGGAGCTTTCTGCCGTGAGGCCCAGGCTCGCTGCGGCTGGGCCACAAACAGAGAAGGTACTGAGCCACGGTCAGGGATGGCTAGGAGTCAGACACACCCCCCCCCGGACACCAGCACTGCGATTCACAGAGGCACGTCCCTCTAAATAGTCTGCCGTTCAGCTGTAGTTTAGTTTTTCTCCAAAACCAGCCAGTGCCCTTTACACCCTGTAGCTGGCAGCCAGAGGCTGAAGCCCTCTCCAAGCCCATGGCGGCACTACGAGGAGGAGAGTGCATCAGCACTGCACGCACCATGCAATTTTAATGCCCTTTCAGTTTCCAAGGATACAAAAAACAATCAATCAGACACAATCGCTCGCTGCGGGGCTGGCTGCACAGGAGCTGCCC